GTTGAGACAAGATGCAGACCTACTTTGACCATTCACATGTGTTAAACGTTACTTTTGCCTGGCAGGGCTCATTAACCCCACGTGGGGTAATACAAGGGTGTGTCCAGAAGGACCAATTTTGGTTATTTTGTTTTCATTAAATGTAAAAAGCTAAGTATTGATATAACCTCGTATAATTACACTGCTGGAAGTGACTCGAAAACAAGGCACATAATGTTGTAGATTATAACAAGTTGTTCAGTTCGCTTTGGATTGTTGTGGAATTTACTTGTTTGTTAGTGTTAATAAGGACAATTAGTAGTGTGATAGTGCATTCTAGTACGGTTCTTATTCAACCGTCAGTTGGTGGTGAGTTACATTACCAATGCCTATCGGATAATTCGAAATATTCTCGGTATCTGGGCCAAAATTCGCAGCAACTGGGTACGTCGCTGTCAGTGTTGCATTGAAGCGAATGGCAGACAATTTAAATATTTTTTAAAAAAGGTACGTATTTCTTTTTTACTTTTACCTTTTTTTTACAAGGTGGAAATGCATTCTGCTTCTTCCCGGTAGGTACTTGTTACATCCACACTAGATCAGCTGAGCGACGTTGGTCGCCTAGATCCAGGCCCGTAATGAAACAAATTGTACGTTCAAATTTACAAAGACGATTTGCGAGCTCAATTGTCACTGGATTGAAAAATTGTATAACACTTTTTTGTTGTATTTTGTGTCAGCAAGCCATGTTTTTTTTTATTATTATAACTGGGACACCCTGTATATATATTGATGGAGCTAAAGAAGCTTTACTTCAGTCGTGTGGTCTAGAGCACACTTGTTTTTATTAATGTGTAGTTATTAAAACAGCGTTTGTTTGATCTCTTGTTTTCACCAATACTCAACGTATACATTTTGGCATTTATTATTTCGTCTTGGCATTGCACTGTGGTTACCTAATCCTCGCCAGTATTTATGACGTTCTCTTTGCTGGGTTCATCTTCTTTAACAAAATTTCTACTGAGTGCATCTGAGTGCCTCATGCGGCTTCTAATTGTAAGCCGATAAACAACTTCATAATAGTAATCTTGTAGTTCGAACCACTCAAGAACAATTCTTGGTATCAAGCCCTCTTTGGAAATGGCTGTTCCTAAAGCGTTATAGTCTGTAACTATTTTAAGTTTAATGCTTAGGTGTCAAGACTTTTGCGAGAGCCTCGAGTTTGTATGAGTGATCAAATATTTGTTCTGCAGACATTTCCGTACTAACATATCCCACAAGATGCATTTTACCGTTATGCTTTTGAAGTAGAATGCCTTCAAAGTCTCTGTCGTTTCTAGCGGAAAAAAAAGATGTGTCGAATGATGTTTAAAATTTGCCACACTATCACATGAAAGGAACCAACGTCAATACTATTCGCGTGCATATTCAGTTGTGGGGGTTGCTTTCTATAAAATGGGGAACCAAGAAAATTAAAATGTCTGTGCAATTCGATAGTTTAAGTATGTTTTTTGCCGGTTTCCATCCTTTCCTCCCACCTGAATCGGCAATTTCCGATGTCATAACCATAACAAATCAGCCATTGTCCTTAAAGAAGAGAGAACAGCCTGTTCAAAATTTGTTGATGTAAAATTCTCAGAAACGGGACAGGTGAGTTCTAGAAACTCAAGGGTCTGTCCAGGCTTTTGCATACGTACTGTGGTGTACATTTAAAACTTCGTGGTGATTGAAAGTTCGCTGGGCACTGCATAAAACATACATACAGTTTTAATTTACACAAACCAAAATGTAATTATTGTAAACGGTATGTAATAAATCAATAATAAGTAATAAGAATACGAACCGTGTGTTCTTAACGACTATTAAAAAGCACGACAGGTGGTCTGGATACAAGAATCGAAAAAATTAACAAAAGTTTTTCTAATATACATGTGGGTTGTACATATCTACTTGTTCAAATATTTAAAAAAGTATATTTCGTCGAGTACCCTGTGAACTAGGAAGACTTAAATGGACGCCACTGATTATAAGCGGAAGACGGGACAGACCCTTATGTTTCGAGAACTGACCTGTCTCGTTTCTGAGAATTTTACATTAACAAATTTTAAACAGGCTACAACAACTATTCTGCAGCGATATACTGACCTAGTGCCAATGATTGATACTGCCAATTAACAGCTGATTGCGACGTTGTGTCGTTGTATTTCTCTGCGTGATTTAACAGGATCGTCCTGGCGAACGGTGAACACTCCAGCCAGCAAACTTTAGTTAATTTTCGTGTTTTATAATGCCCAATTACCTCCTGTAATCCCCGTACTTATTTTAGTTAAACCCTGCAAAAGCAAGTAGGCTAGCCACGCAGCTGATCCGTACGTTAATCTGATGACTTTTTGATTATATTTTCAAAATTTATTAGGTATATTATTTTTGTCTTTTAATCGTTATAATATTCTATATGTAGTATTTAGTGGTTAGAATTTGATAATAAAAGCCTCAATATTATCCCATCACATTTATTTGAAGTTGCAGCGCATGTTCTCACTGCAGCAATGGCAGTTCAGGGTTTGTATTAATAAAGCTTTGCTCAAAGTGTGTTAAAGTACAGTATACATATATAGCATATGTAATTATTATTTGCTTTAATACTTATTTTTCAGTTAAATATTTTGGTATGTTAGATTTCATTGTTTCTGCCTACTTGCCCGCCCAAATATCTTATATGAGAGTAAATTCATTTTAATCTATTTAAAAATTGAAAAGAATTCCCTTCGTGTTTTTGTTGTGTTTTATTTTATTAGATTATTATAGGATAGGATAGATAATTCCAAAATGATTTATCTTTGAAGCAAAGGCCCTGAAGATGAAACGAATGTAAAAACTAATAATTTTGCACTAATGACATATCAGAACTGTCTGAATGTAAAACTCATCCCTTATT